TATCAAACTTTTATTTTGAATGATTTGCTACTTTACTAGCTCTGTTTAGTAGCCGAAAATTGATCGATCTTTATATTGTACTTTGAAAAAAGGGGGGCTTTGTGTAAATTAGTCAAACTTTAATCAGAAATAAGAACGTGTAAAGTTTTTTATAGCGTGAAACAGAACGTATAAATATATATAGATTTTAGTATGCGTTATCCTTTGTGTAATCAGGGCGGGACGGAATTTTACACCAGTATTCAAAATGCATTGTAAAATTCCGTACACCCCTGATAACACTAAGGAAACGAATTTTATTTCACTTCACAATTCTACACTGGTGTTGCTACGCGTTATTAAATATACATATATTTTTTTGTAAAGATGGAGGGGGGGGGGGGGGGGGTTGAAATTTTATTTTTATGTTTAGTTTGGGGAAATTGTATTTTGGGGATTTTCGGCAAACAAAAGTTTTTTTTTATATTTTGACAAAATTTTGTTTTTTGTGTAATCTTTTCGTTGTTATTATTACTTTTTGTATTTTTTACTTTTAGCAGTTATATTTTACTTTTGGCATTTTATTTTTGTTGGAATTTTACACTACAACCGTTTTTATTTTATACTTGAGTCACCGAAACGTCCATTACAAATCCTAAGACCTGTTGATTTACATTGATAAAATTATGTTTGCTTGCTTCATAAGAAATAAGATACTTCATTTATGTTCCGAACCCTTTCTAGAAATTCAATTCGCCAATTGAATATTATACTACAACACTGTATTCCGTTTGATTGGTTGCAAACGGAGACAATTAAAAAAAAACCCAGATGGAATGTCACAAATTCGTTACTTAAAATAATCCAAAACTAATGAGAGCATTCGGTGTTCCTAGCTCCGATTCCGAATAAAAAATCATATAAAATAAAATACAGAATGTATTTTTTTATATCTGTAACCAAGTTTAACGAGGTCATTCATTCAGTATGTTTTGACATTTTGATACGGTCCCTATATTTGTGTAGTCAGTGTAGGTGTCGATGTCGGTGTAAGTGTCTGTATAGATGACTTTTCGAAAATGTCTATTAATGCCAAAGCTCTTAACCAATCTTAAATGTTTTCTCTTCTGCTCTTGATTTCACATTTATAGAGGAATATCCATATAACTATTATTAATTGATTGACTTTATGGTTTCAGATCTCAATCATTTCTGATGTCAATTAAAGATATGAGAAAACAGTGTTATACTCATTTATGATGGAGATGTCTCAACACTTTTGAGAACTATTGACGTAACATTACAACATGCCTGCAGTGAAGTGCCCAGTACCGGATTGCCAATATGAGACGGATGATCTCGACGCTGTTGTGTTTGCAGCATAACTTACAACTCACGCAACAGTTCACTCGGCAGCCGCTGGTGCCATTGTCTCAGCAAAAACAGAGAAAGTAAAACGTCCAACTGTTGCATCAGCTGGTTCCAGTGAAGATTGGACAAACTTTGTCTCTCGATAGAAAGACTACATACAAGCAACTTAGGTCAGCGACAAAGACCTTGTTATTCAGCTACTAGAATGTTGTGATGAAACTTTGCGACGATCTTGCAGCCATGCGAAAACTGGCAGTGAGAGAAGAAAACACTACGATAGCACGTGTTTCTCTTCATGGCATGACACAGGATCGCGATGAGACAGTTCGTTTATTTGGAGCCAGAATCCGAGGCCAAGCCAGCGTTTGTAAATTCACATTGCAATGTCCAGGATGTGAACATAGTGTCGACTACACAGAAGCTGCTATCTTACTTGATGCACTTACCCGTGGACTAAGTGACCCTGATATTCAGTTAGATCTCTTAGGAAACAAAAATCAGGACATAACACTTGAACAAGTCTTCAAATGCGTTGAGGGCAAGGAAGCCGGTAAGCGTTCTGCATCACACCTTCTTGATTCACAAGGCATTGAAGCCGCCTCTAGTTCATACCGTCGAAGACGAAATGACAATGTTGCCAAAGACACGAAAAAACATGATAACAACAAGGTTGAATTATGTGGTTACTGTGGAAAAAAAGGGACACGGAAAAAGTGCTCCAAATGACAATGTTGCCAAAGACACGAAAAAAAATGATAACAACAAGGTTGAATTATGTGATTACTGTGGAAAAAAAGGGACACGGAAAACGTGCTCCATCCAAAATCAGGAAGACAGAATGTCCTGCATACGGACATACTTGCAAAAACTGTGAACGTGAAAACCATTATGAATCCGTATGTCGAAGCAATACCAGTAAGCCAAAAGTGAAACAAAATGAAGAATCTAAAAGTGCTGTATTCGATTTTCTTTGTGCGGCAACTGTGTCCCCTCAAGGGAAAAGAACCATCCAACTTGATCATCATCTTTACTCGCAGATGTATAACACATGGGTTAAACGACAATCACAACCGCAGCCGTTCATCAACATAGTTGGTAAAGTTGTAGAAGGTGATTACAATCAGCTTGATTTTCAAAACTCTGTAGTGTCTCAAAAGAGAAATACAGTCATTCCTGCAATGGCTGACACTGGTTGTCAAAGTTGTCTAGCTGGAATCAAAGTGCTTCACAAAATTGGACTAACAAAACGTGACCTCATAACGGTAAATATGCAGATGCACGCCGCTAACAACAAATGCATTGTTATACTTGAAGCCGTCATTCTCAGACTATCAGGAAAGGACTAAGATAAGAACGAACTAGAAACGAGACAAATTGTGTACATCACAGACAGCGCAGACAAATTCTTTCTGAGCACAGAGGCTTGCATTACACTTGGTATAATATCTGAGAACTTTCCTACTATTGGTGAAATCACCGGAAGCGTCATTGATACTTCCTCACTGACAAACGATGAGAACAGGTTTAAAACACAAGTTGATTGCAACTGTCCGAAGAGGCAAACACCTCCTCCGAAACCAATGAAACTTCCGTTCGAACCCACAGAGGAGAACGTATCGAAACTCCAAAACTTTCTACTTGAACACTACAAGTCGAGCACTTTTAATACATGTGAACATCAACCACTACCACTCATGGAAGGTCCACCTTTGATACTTATGATTGACCCTAAAGCAACGCCAGTTGCATGTCATACTCCGGTTCCATGTCCCTTTCACTGGCAAGACGACGTGAAAGCATCCTTAGATCAAGACGTCAGGCTAGGCGTTATTAAACCCGTTCCAGTCGGCGAACCTGTAACATGGTGTCATCGTATGGTTATATGTTCCAAAAAGAATGAAAAATTGAGACGCACAGTTAGATTTTCAGGTTCTCAACGCTCACGCAATAAGGGAAACACATCACACACAATCTCCTTTCCATCAGGCAAGATCAGTCCCTCAGGGGAAGAACAAGACTGTATTTGACGCTTGGAATGGTTACCATAGTGTACCCATCAGAAAAAAAGACCGACATCTTACCACCTTTATCACCCCATGGGTTAGATACAGATACAAGACTGCCCCCCAAGGATACATCGCCTCAGGTGATGGTTACACAAGAAGATTCGACAACATCGTGGCCGATGTGCCAAACAAGACTAAATTTGTCGACGATACTCTTCCAAGGTCCGATGATATTGAGGAAAGTTTCGTTCAGGCTTGTCATTGATTGGAGCTTTGTGGAAAACATGGTATAACTTTAAACCCAGAGAAATTCCACTTCGCACAAGATACAGTTGAGTTCGCTGGATTGGAAATAACAAACGATAGCGCCCTTGCAAACGATACCTGCAAGCGATATTGGATTTTCCTACACCGAATACATAACAGACGTTTGATCGTGGTTTGGCCTTGTCAATCAGGTTTCATATCATTTAGTATGGCCGATTGTTTGCAACGATTTCGTCAATTGATCAAACCTGGCACACCGTATCGTTGGGATAATCAGCTGGAAGATCTCTTCCAAGAAACAAAGACAGTGAAATCGAGGAAGGAGTGCGCATATTTGATAAATCTAAACCGACGTGCTCAGCAACTGACTGGTCAAAATCCGGACTTGGATTCTGGTTATTCCAGAAACATTGCGAATGCCCAAAGCTTTTACCATTCTGTTGTCACGAGGGTTGGAAAAGTACACTAGTAGGCAGTCACTGCACTCATTGCGCTGAATCACGGTATACTCCAGTAGATGGTGAGGCTTTAGCTGTTGTTTACGCACTGGATAACGCGAGGTATTTCGTTCTTGGTTGTGAAGAACTCATAATTGCCGTTGATCACAAACCACTACTAAACAAGGCTACGAAACCTTAAGGAAAAAACATTGCGTTACAAACTCGGAATGATGCATGTCCCAGGAGCAAAACACCGTGCTGCTGATGCCGTTTCGCGGAACCCAACTAGAAGTAATTCAGAGGAACTCAAATTAATTGATGGCATAGCATTGATTATTGAAGACAGCAACCAATTTGATAACTTGTCTTTTCAGACTATTCAACACAATTTCTTGTCCTCAATCATGAAAGACGATTGTTGTGATGTGTGTTCAGATGAATAAATTCAACTTGCCGCAGCTTCGTCAAAAAACACTCTACAATCTATCACATGGCAGATGGTACGTGTTGCTACAAACAGTAACGATGATATGGTTAAACTGGTAGAAATAATCGAAAATGGAATGCGTGAATTCCGCCATGAAATGCCTACTGAACTTCGTGAATTCTTCCAGTTTCGAAAAGACCTCTACACAGTAGATGCATGGTGTAGTCATGTATAAGGATCGCATCATTATTCCACCTGCCCGCCGCAAAAATGTCTTGGCAATACTCCATTCAGCACACCAAAGTGTAACATCAATGATTTTAAGAGCAGAATCGTCAGTCTTTTGGCCTGGAATAACCCCAGATACCACTACTCTACGAAATAAGTGTAAACCAATGTAATCGAATGGTACCATCACAACCAAGTGCTCCACCTACACCACCTGTTTATCCGATTTACCCTTTTCAATGTGTGTGCGCTGATTTTGTCCATTATAAAGGCGTCAATTACCTGGTGGTCGTAGACAGATATTCTAACTGGCCAATCATTGTATTCTTGTCTTTCATATTTACTAATGCTTTGTCTATATGCACTTTTGTGTTTCTTTGATACATAATGACGTGGCTTTTTTTTGAAGAAATACACAATAAGTATATAGACAAGCGGCAAGAAGGACAAGGTAAACTTATAGTTTACATTCTGCAGAGGATATGCCTAAAAGAACTATAGACTATATTCTTTACATACTTTGAACGACATAATTATTTTATATCTCTACCTGTGTGACGTTTACATTCTGACGTCAAATGCGCGATTCTACGTCAGAGTAAATGTTAATCTAACCATTCGGTCCCAGTACTTAAAATCTTTCAATCCTTTATGGGTGGATTTAACATACATAAATAAAATACAAAAATAAGAAAGCAATGATGAGGTTGTTAAGTTTGATATATGCATTTTTGTGATTCTTTGTTAAATATTCGTTTGTTTTTATTGTGATTAAGATTATAACACAATGTTGACTGCTGTACCCCTATTTTTGACATTTTTACCTATTGTGTCTGTTAGTTTTGTTCACGCATCGTTGTCAATACAATGGAATTGGATGCGACTGTCATACACGTGAGAGGTTTAGCTAGCTATAAAACCAGGTTCAATCCACCATTTTCTACATAAGAAAATGCCTGTACCAAGTCAGGAATATGACAGTTGTTATCCATTCGTTTGATGAGTTTGAGCTTTTGATTTTGCCATTTGATTAGGGACTTTCCGTTTTGAATTTTCCTCGGAGTTCAGTATTTTTGTGATTTTACTTTCCACAATGGTGCACAAAGTCTAATTGAATGCCTACGAAGAACATTTTTTACTCACGGGATACCTGATGAGTTATCTCTAGACGGAGGTCCAGAATTCACTGCCTCTACAACAAGGCAATTCCTTAAAGTATGGGGAGTGTACAATCGTCTTTCATCGGTTGCTTTTAGCATAGCAATTGCAGAGCTGAAGTTGGCGTAAAAACAGTCAAACGTTTAATCACTAATAACACTGGACCAAACGGCGAACTTGAAACAGACTCTTTACAACGAGCAATCCTACAATATCGCAATACACCTGATAGAGACACAAGATTATCACCATCTTTGGATGTATTTCGACGCCCGATACGTGATTTCATTCCGATTCTTCCCGGTCGGTATAAACCGCATGACACATGGCGTGACACTTTATCGAAACGCAAGGAGGCTTTGAGGCATAGACACATGAAGGTAGCGGAAAAACTTTCCGAACACTCAAAACAACTACCTCCATTAACTATTGGCGACCATGTCCGAATCCAGAATAAGATTGGTGCGAATCCCCTGAAATGGGACAAAGCAGAACAAGTTATTGAAGTAAGACAATTTGGCCAATATGTAACACGGGTTGATGGATCGGGTAGAGTTACCCTTCGCAACAGAAAATTTATTCGGAAATACAAACCAGTGAACAAATACCCAGAAAGGATGTCAATTGACACTGATTTGAAATTATCAGCCAAACGAATAAAGCCAGTGTTACATGAATCGTCTCCTAAGGGTAAAACAGAGCTCCTTGTGCTGAAAAGAACGTGCTCTCTGAACACTTGTCTGCTACACCAGATGAACATAACGACCAGGATTGAGTCTCTCGTCGAATTGAGTCACACCCTCCAGATATTGCGTTGAATCATTCACAACTACCAAACCTACCAACATCAACAGAGGGTCCGAAAACGTCCATTACACAAAGCACTCCTATGGATTTGACACAAGCTAATTCTTCTCCGTCTAAAGTAGCCAATCAGACATTCCAGTCGTCAGAGAAAAGAACCGCCATGGCTCCAAGATTATATACATTAGATACAGAAGGTTACAAATGTGTAGTACAATACATTACATATATACATTTTTGTTAATTCACTGAATCAAAAGAGAGGTCTACTCATAATCAGTCATCGTAATATTTCAAATACACATACAAATGACTTGTGGTCGGATAGAGGAATATCCATATGATTATTATTAATTGATTGATTTATTGTTCCAGATCTCCATCATTTCTAATGTCAATTAAAGATATGAGAAAACAGTGTTATACTCATTTAATTTACTGTCATTTTTTTAATTGTAGTTCACATATACAAAAAAAAAGTTGTTTGTTCTCTGATCATTTCTGAATCAAAATTGTTCAAGGCATATGTCCATTTTTGCTCTAGGTCTACTGATGGGCTACTGGGTACTTAACCTGGAACCAGTACCGGACTTCGAGGTTGTTGACGATTTAAATGAGACAATCATTTAACTGTTCAGTTCGTTCAATTAAATTTGTCATCACTTCTATGATATACAAGTTTTTATGGAATATCTGTTTCACAGATGACGACGGATATGTTCCAATTGTCGTAACCACAATCCCGTCCTATTTCCTCGAATGTGATCTACCGAATTATACTTATTACCGGGTTTGTGCTTACATGAGCAATGCGACAAGTGCAACATGTGGAGTAGGATCTGCTTACCCTTTCGAAGCACCTGAGATGTACGCCGGTATTTGTTGGGGTTCGTGTTTCTCAGTCTTTAGGTTTCTATGTTGTGTTTTGTATACTGTTGTTTGTCTTTTGATCGTTTTTCGTTTGTTTTTTTGACATGGCATTGTAAGTTTATTTTTGACATTCTTTTTGGATATCTCTTTTGTATCTTTCTACAGTCTTTTTCCTAAATGTTTTGCCTACTTTCTTCTAATATGCCATTGAGTGGAAAATCTCCAAAACCAATTTACGCAGTATTGATAACTTGTGGAATAGAAATACGAATCTGATTTGACAAATCTTTTTCCCGTCTGTCTATTTCAATATAAATGCACACTACTGAAACACCATGATCAGACCATGATCCCTCATTTGTTTCCCTTCTGCAAGTTAAACAAAGTGTATATGTTTTTTAATGTTTGAAAAAAAAAAGATACCAAGGGGACAATCAAAAGCCATAAATACAATAAAAACAGACAAAACATGGTCACAACAAAGACAAAACATAACATAGAAAACTAAAGATTGAGCAACACGAACCCCATAAAAAATACAGAAATAAACTAAGGTGCTTGGGAAGAGTAAGCAGCTCTTGTTCTTGTACAACTTTTAACTATTTGGTCCTTATAACTTGAGAAATGTTTCTGTATTGTTATGAGTTACAATTTATGACTAAAATCAGCAAAGACCCATCGAAACAACATCTGATACATATATTTAAAAACACTTTTAGATATTTGGATGATATATTGGCTCTCAATAATGACGACTTCAGTATGTACACTAAAGAGTTTTATCCTGCTAAACTGACTTTAAATAAAGCTAATACTATCAATGGACACTGCCCTTTTCTGGATCTTGATATTTATATCTTTAACAGGAAGCTTAATACCAAAATTTATGATAAAAGAGATGAATTTTCATTTCCTATTGTTAATTATCCTTTTTTAGATGGTGACGTTCCCTTGTCACCATCTTATGGTGTTTATATATCTCAACTTGCTCGATTCGCTCGTGTGTGTAACAACGTATTTGATTTTAACGAAAGAAATCTCTGTATTACTGAAAAATTATTACACAAGGGTTTTCGATATCACAAACTAGTCAAACCATTTAGTAAATTTTATCATCGGTACAAGGACCTCAATCGTAAATATAAATCAACATGCAGACATCTTATACGTTCAGATATTTCACATCCAATCTTTTATTGTAATATTCTATACAAAGCACAAACATGTCGACATTCATCTCAAAAGCTAACCAAACCTTTAAACAGACTTATTCAGAAGGGATATAGTTACGATACTGTTGTCAGGTCATTAAAGATGGCATATTTTGGTATTAATATTGATTCACTCATAGGGTCTTTGCATCGGAAATAAACACATTTATTCTAAAACCAGTCGTTGGCATGATACGGGTTATGTTCTTCTCATATATTTTATGATGGTATGATACTAAACCCCTAACGGGAGGGATTATGCTTGATTTTCATATGATAAAGACATAATCTTACAATCAGTTTGATTGAGGTCTGGAGCTGGCATGTCAGTAACTGCTAGTAGTCCTTTGTTATTTAGGCCACACCAATTTAATTTCTTGTTCTATGGATTTTCCACTCCAGAAATTGGGGCTAGCGAGCGATTTGAAAATTAAAAAAAAAAAATAATTTGCAAATTTTTTAGGCGAAGCTTGAAAAGTAAAGGCGAGCGATTATATTTTTTTTTGTAAACATAAAATCATAGGTTCTGACAATATTGATCAAAACAAGATGGTATGAAACTTGATTTACCACTTGTACTTTGACATTTCTTTAATTTATCAACTGCTGAAGTGTTTTTTTTTCCTGTTCACCAAGAGATGTAATGCCAACTTTTAATTGCAGCATATTTATGACTTCTTGTATTACTGTTGTTACTTTCTGAGGACATCAAATCTTGAACTGAATAATTGAATAATTATTTCAACTGCTTTAAATGATCGCCATTGAATTGTCATAAATGTCTTTCCTCCTTCACCGGACATGACTTATAACTAGCAATATTGCGGTTGTCTTGCAAGAAGCAGAAACTGCTCATCCGTCCGGATCGCCAAGTTTTTTTGGGGTTCATGTTGTTCGTTGATGTTAATACTTTTTAGTTTTTTTGTGTTATATGTTGGTTGTCTGTGTCTCCGTCGTTTTGGTGTTCTCATTTTTGTTCTTTGTCTTTTTGGCACTTTGTATATAAATAAGATGTGGTATGAGTGCCAATGAGACAACTATCCATCCAAGTCACATTGTATTTAAAGTTAACAACGGTCTAATCTATATACAAAACGAGAAACACTAATGAACCACACCAACACAAGACAGGCTCCTGACTTAGGACAGGTTCATAAGAATGCAGCGGGTATGGATAGTTTTGTTCCGCCGATAAACGATATTGCAGTTGAAGGCAACACTTCTCCCCCTGTGTCGTCGTTTATTAAAACAACGAAACTCGGCATAATTTTGTGAAG